GAGGCTTTTGGGGGACGCGGAGTCCTGGCTCGCAAGACTTACGTGCGAACCGCGCTGGATCCTGAAGAGCCTCGGGGTTTGGGGCAACGGGAGCTCCATGACAACGGAGGCTTGAGGGCTTGTTTCGTCTCGACGTGGGAGGGCTTAAGGATGGTTAACGTGCAGGGCAGTGCAGGACCTAGGTCTTAGGACATTAGCCTGAAGTCCGAAGCCAAGGAGATAGAGGCTCAAAGACAAAAGGTAGTCTAAAGAGCTTCATAGTCTCAAGATTTGGGGTTCGCGTGTGTTCGCAGACACAAACACATAGCTGGACCGTAGCCGTGTAGGCTTTGCTTCTTGGGCTTCAGCCTGGCCAGCATGCTTGGCAACTCTTTCAACCGTCCACAGTCACCAGACCAAAGCCCTCTGAAAGAGATCTCAAAACAGGAACAGCAACGCATCAACATTCTCCGAACAAGGTCGATTTAAGTCTCGAGTTTCGAAGAAGCACCAGACGAGAGTTTCCTCTCCACTGCTTTAGCAGCCGTGGTTTTAGCTCCGTGTGGACGACAAGCCCTAAGCCTCGGATCCCAACTCCCCGCCATGCGGCTGCAGGCTTCAAGGCTTGAAGACTTGGGTTTTTAGGCTCGTGAAAAAAACCCAAACAAAGGTGTTCAAGCTCTCTCCCCTTCTCCCTCGCTGAGGAGTTGTACATGCTTTCAATTGGCGCGGATCCCGAGCCAACTCCCGAGCAGCTTCGGCCTCTCATCCTCCAAATCTGAAAATCGAGACGGTCCTAACTTTTCAACACCCCGAGACTCTGGAAGGGACGGCACTGAGCCACACATCCCTTCCCCAAACCTTGATCCGATTAACCTGGATCATCGCAGCCACAGGAATGCTATTCTGATAATTCAAGTCCCAAAATGCAGAAACTCTAGGACTACACCCATACCCACAACCCCTCCCCAAAGCCCAATAAAATCTTGCCCCACGAGATCGCGACCCTGATCTCCGAAGCGAGGCTCCATGTTCCGAGCCCTCGTAATATCGCGCTTAAGGTCCAGTCTAGGGTCTATGGTTTGGGGCGGTTGAGAGGTTAGGAATCCAGAATGATGTGATTTTCTGTTGTTTCCCGCCAACTTGATGTTTGGAGTTTGGGGTGTAGAGATTCGCTGTTCTTCAAGAATTCAATGCTGGCATACGGCTTCTTCGTTCCCGCAGAAACAGGGCTTGCGGTTCCACGTGATAATGCTTCACGCTGCAGGTGGGCGACTGTTCAACTGGGAGTTCGGATCGGGGTGATGAAGGATGTTGGGCTGGGGGCTCCCCGTGAAGTAGTTAGTTTAAGACGCGCCTGGAAATGTTAAAATTGAAGGTTTCTGCTTTTCGGGTGCGAATGCTTGAAGTAGAAAATGACAAGCAGGTTTCTGAAAAAGGCTCACTGACTTCGAGTCCCAAGGAAAATTCCCCCTCCCCAACCGTCCTAGATGCAGGTTATGAATGGCTCAGCACTACCTAATCTCCAAACGGGCTCAGTCATGGCTGGGAAGTTTGGATTCAAGACATGGCAAAAGTGATCGATCGAGGATGGAGGGCTTTGGGATTGGCGCTTCCGGATTCAGCCGGCTGGGGAAATCGAGCCGATTCTAGGCAGGTACACACACAGCATGGTCGCCGGTCCCTTCTCGGGTGTTGAATACGATCAGCTACGATGAAATGACGCCCACTTGGAAAAAACACTGCACCCGCGAGTGTCTCGAATGTCTCTAGTCGGGCCGATGGTTTATGGACTTGGTATCTCAATTTAGGACCTTTAGGATGAAGCACTGCGGTATATGGTCCAGGCAACAAAGAAAATTGTCAGTTGAATTTCAAGGGGGTTGAAACCGAGCCCCGATTCGGAGTGGTCCTGGCGGAAATCATCGGGCGCATCGTGGCGTCCTGGCGGGAACTGATTGCCGGGTCAATCATCATTGGCAGTCAGCCTGGAACATGCAGGCACAGGGACGATCCCCGGGTCTAAGCCCGAAACTCCTCAACCCGAAACGCTAAGCCAAAAACCCCAGGCCCCCTGAAGCCCTAAGCTCACCTTCATCTCCAACTCCTCTTGCCGCATTCGTGCGTGGTGCCACGCTTCTCGGCGGCCCTTCGGCAGCTCGGGGTCAAGCTGTTAAAGCTTCAGGGTTTAGGGAAGCGTCCCGTAGTCGCAGCCACCATCGTCGCCGCAATGGTTAAAAGTTAAACTAAATGGTAGCAGAGGAAGCATAAAGCATGGGAAATATGAGAAACCAGAAATGTTTACTCACGTCGCTTCGAGCTGGGCCTGTGAGCTTGGGGAATCTGAGCCGAACAGTCCGAGCTCTGAAAAACGGAAACCACAAATAATTCTCGGTAAATCCTACACCCCGAAATCTTAAATCCGAAGCCAGCGATTTGCGTGGACACTTGCGCCTCTCTAGGCTGGACGAGTGTGGTCCATAGGTTGTTCGGATCAAACCGGTTTGTCTCAGCATGACAGCTGGGCTGTGCGGCTTAATTAAAGTTGACAGTCTAGGATTGTCGGATTCATACGGTGTGGGAGAGGACAGCGACCACATGTGGCATTTCGAGTTGATGGGCAGAAGTCACAAATTCCGAACCCAATGTCGCTAATGCCGACTACAACTACCGTATGCAGGCTTCTCGCGTCTGCATGAATAGCACTCCTAAGCAATGCCAGGAGGCATCAGCTGGCCCTGGCCTTGCAGGCATCACGACCCTGTGCGACAGCATCATGAGCATCAGCCGCCAGTGTCCGACACAATCCAAGCCCACAGCAAGAGCATCATGTGCTTCAGCTGGCCCCTGGCCTTGCAGGCATCGCCACCGAAACAACATCATCAGCATCAGCCACCAATGTCTGGCAGGAGCCAAGCCCACTAGCATCATAAACATCAGCTGGCCCTGGCTGCTAGGCCTCACGACCCAGAGGAACAGAATTGTGAGCATCAGCCACTAGTGTCCGGCA